GGGCTCGCGGGGCTCGCGGGGCTCGCGGGGCTCGCGGGGCTCGCGCGCCTCGCGCCCGTCCCGCGCCTCGCGCCCGCTTCGCTTCTCCGCCTTGTATGCGCTACAACACGCACGATCGTTAGCGATACGCTTCATACTACATATATAACAACAGTATATACTACTATGAATGCTCTAATAAATAATAGGTCTTTACCTATACGTTGGTATACAATTACCATAGCTGTTTTTACTTTTTTTTTGACGGCTTAACAATGGCTAGTCAAACTTTTTCGAACCATAAATGAGAGAACACCGTACATTTTTCTGTATTTAACACTTTTTGATATTAAAAAGTGTAAGTGATTATGTTTTCCGACAGTTATATTATACGCCCCATGCAATAATGGCACCTGTTATCATAATTATACAGGGCTAATAGGGATGATCACAGGGTATGAACATTCAGAATCTAATTAGTCCGTCAGTTAGGTAATAAAAGAATATTGGACACGTAATTTTTTATTTTGTCGTATAAGAAACCAATACTTAGATAAAACGGATGAACGTTTAGGAGTGAAAGGTAGCTACGTCATTTTAGAGTATAAATCGTACTCAAAAGTGACGTCATGCGATATTTCAAATCAATATATCTTCGAAACTATTCGTTTCCGTAAGAAAATAAACAATACATGTCTATTTTTTTTAAATAATCTATCAGACGGACATTAAAATAAAAATTATATAGCCTATTCTTATTTAACATTACACTTTCTTAGTGCCTGATTTGTTTATTATTTAGTCCTCTTTCATTATTATTTCATAAGAAACAAAAGTATTTATCATAGGTAAAGACCTAATATTATTTTGATGATAAAATATATTCAATTGTGTAAAATAAAAAGAAAAGATTGAAGCATTAATTTCAATATGTAGGTACACACACATATAAGTTAGTTATTTCACACAAGCGAAGCTAAGTCAAAGCTGCCACATGAGTGACATGTCATGCTGTAAGTAAGGAACAGAATAAGCTATAACACAAAAGTTTACCATAAAGTCGTTATGAGGTATCCAGTGCCAACTAAACAGAGACTTGTTGTTAAGATGCAAAGCGAATGACAAATCTTATATTCGTAGGGAGCATGCAAACGTACCGACACTATCTCCAAGTCCGTATTGTATGTAGCCACATCGAGTAACCGTTGGACATTGGTGAGTAATTAACCAACTAGTAATCGGTACATTTGTATACTTTATGTAACAAGGATCAACCCAGCAAAAGAAAATAACGAAATAAAAAGAATAATATATTGAACGTCTCACATTGGCTACTCAACAGGTTCAACCAGGTCAGAGCTACTTCAAAAGTGAGAACAGTACATAAGGTAGAGACGTAACGTTTCATCAAAATAAAAATTAAAAAAGTATAAGCGAGAACAATCGGGGAGTGTGAAGTGTTACCGTGGCGAGTCCGAGCCGGCCGCCGAGCAACCGCGCGCTCCTACACTACGCGCCACACTACGCGCCACACTACGCGCCACACTACGCGCCACACTACGCGCCACACTACGCCGACACTACGCCGACCTACTGCTCGCTGGACGACGGCCGGAGTGACGGCCCACTCCGCCGTCTTCTGGCCACAGCGCTGCTAGTGGCAATATATTTACGAACACAAGAAGACTGAGTGAGCGGCGCCGGCGCCCATACATTGTACGATATACAACTGTTACACTATAACTCTAGGCAAGTCAATTCACTGCAGTGCGCACGTTCCTATTATATAAATTCTTATTTTATGTATCATCGGTATAATAATTATGATATCCGTCGATTATTCTAGAGTACATATCAATACGCCGGGGTAAATGCTTCTTAAATGTAATATTTTATAAAAACCTACCGAATATATTTCATCAAAATGCATAAAGAGAACTTCACAATATCAAAATGTTTAACAATTTTATATTTCTACCTACTTACTTAATATGCGAAACTTGCTTTTTGCAAAAGCGTGATGCTTGGTATAGATTATAAAGTAAATGACTAGCTGAGCACCAAACCCTGCACTGCGTACAAGGGCGACATGCCGACTATGTGAGCGCTCCTGGCGCTGCTCGCTAACTAGTACCTACGCTACCGGCTACAGTACGACACATACAAAATAGAGATCATCATTACTTGTACCAGCGTTGCGATAGTATACAGGTTCAGCTGTATGGACATACATTGGACACAGACAGTACAGACTTTAATGTTTGTCGCAGGCAGCCCTAGTACTGGGACGAGGCAGAAGCGGTTGTATACTTAACGAATGGACGTATCGCTGTGAAGCGAAGCCTAGCTATGCTACAATATGTACTGACATACGGATAACAATAGTTACGTACTGATATTAGGTTCGATATGAATCAATTCACAAAATGGACAACATTATTGGTGGCCGAAATTCCACGTGACTCCTTAAAACCATCGTGTTTAAAAGACCCACTCTTTTAAACAACATTCAAAGTATTAAAAGTACAATGACACTTCAGAATGTTAAACAATTAGTAAAATTTTTATAAAACTGCTAAGACGGAAGACAAATCGAATAATATTATGACTACCGAAAATTGGTCAAATTTCATATTTGTTGGCTAAAATGAACCCTGTGGGATCCTTAAACGAACTCGTTAAATAATTAAGTAAAACTTTATTATATAGGCATAGTGCCTTACTCTACACCCCGCGCCACTGCTGCCGTGCCCGGTGGGGACGATCATTTCAATATCTAGGTACAATGATTAAAGAAACAAAGTTGACCAGCTATATGTATACCTACTTGCCCTAGCTGTTCTTTAGTTACCTAGGGAGCACGTGTACAACACAAGAACTTTAGCTGTATACAAGTCATCCAGCCCACGCGGCAGGACAGGACGCCAGTACCGTGCAACAGTTGTGTCATTTGGCTCAGTGAGTGGAGTAAGGCGGTGCGGTCGCGAGCGCGGTTACTCGGCGTCGTGTATGCCGGACTCGTTGTCCTCGTCCTTGGCGTCCAGGCGCGACTTGAGGTCGTCCAGCAGCGCCGCGGGCGGCGCCAGCAACTGGCACACCACGTCGTCGCCCGCCAGCAGCAGGCGCGTGGGCGCGCCCCCGCCCGCGCCCCCCGCGCCCGCGCCCCCGGCCCCCCGCGCCCGCGCCCCCGGGGCCCGCCTCGGCGGGGGGCGCGGAGGGCGCGCTCCGCTCGCGCCACTCGGCGATCTTGCCCTCGATGTCGAGCGTGCTGCGCTTGGACCCGCTGCCGCGGAACGGTTAGTGTGGCAGCGCGACTCAAGGCGGTTACCGTCGTCTACTTCGGTTACGTGCTTCGACATGACTTTAAGACGAGTTTATCCACCAAAGAATATCGGATGTAATCAGAGATCCTGCCACCCCTTCGTTAAAATAATAAAACTAAATAAAAGAACTGAACCAACAGAACATAACGCTACAGTCTGTCACTCGGGCATGCAGCATGCAGCATGCAGCAGGGCAGGCGTCGCTCTAGCGACTAGTACTCACGCGGGTAGTCGTCATGCCACGGTCGCCGTGCTACTAGGTAACATTACTGCACTACCGGGCCGGTCACCACTACACAATACACTAGTTACACACACTAAGGTTAGTAAGAAAAGAACCGAAAGTAAGAAGCTATATGATGCAGACGAGCATGCCGGTGTAGGGAGCATGCGGGGGTGGGAGTGTAGGCGGGGAAGCGGGTTGGGGGGCACTTACTTGGCAAGGGGTACGTTATCGCGGTCCGCGTACGCGTCATACAAATACTCGCTGCAACAGACAACAGACAGTCAGTCAGCGCCGCGCGACTCGCCTCACAACTTCGCTACCGCCGCACGAGATACTACATACGCGAACTGGCGCGTGATGCTACCAACCAATAACTCAACGATATATGTATTCAGAAACACATTCCACTTAGAAATAGAACTCGAGTTCATATGAATTTGGAGTCCCAACTAAACATTGGTAACGAGGTTATTGGTGTATATTTATGGCTACTGTAGAGTGTGGTTATAAGATAGCCGAATAAATATATTACTGTAACATCTAATATCTTGTGCAGAATGTGACTGGATGATGAACAAAAAGTAAACGAAACCGAAACAAACAAAAATAAAGTAAGAGTGAGGTCGGGTCGCATGGAGGCGGCGCCGGCGCGGCCCATGCTACTGGGAGACTCGGCGGGCACTACTTGTCTGGCGGCGGACACAAACAATATCTAGGGGGAATATTTACAACAATGCAAAAAAAAACTGAACACTAACTTCCATGAATTACACTGCGGGTTACAATGTAGCGAGGTACGGAACCGTCGACTGCAAGCAATGATGCGATAGCGATGCATGCCTACCTCGGGACTCATACACACCCTGCTCACACTACGACACGACGGGACTGGCCCGGCCGGCACATCGCTGCTACCAGCTACATGGCGGTGGGTGACAAACAGAACATAACAAAACGGCCCGCCACGCTGCCGGCGGCGACTTCTGTACCGGTTATGTATCATTATTTACTTATTCAGATATTATATTACTTTGCCGAGTATAGCCGCGTGGCGACGCAGCGATAGCTCTTCGACCGCGGGTCCTATTAGCAAACTGTAAGGACACTCCCTCACATTCTCTAGTACTGACTGAAATGCTATATGTATGCACTGCATGTTGTAGGAATCAGAACCACTTTTGCTTGGCAATACAAATGAATTGTATTGATCAAAAGAATCAAAACTAGACCGTATTAAACAGTAACAGTACGCAATAGAAAGAAAAATCACAATGTCATTAGTTTGTGTTGTTTCAAAGTATTCCGTCAGTCCAATAGGAATTTACTATAGTACAAGAGGTGGCCAAAGTAAAGGTTCAACAAATACCAAGTAGTGTAAGAGTGGGCAGACTGGGCAGTGTCGCGTCCGTACGGCGCGGAACATGAGGGGTGCACTACCAACCCGAACATAACGGACAGACACACCGACTAATCAAACTGTTAAATCAATGTTAACACAGCTCTCAAACGAAAACAAAGTAAATTAATCGGAACAGAAAATTAATTGAAATTAAACAGAAACAAAATAACTGAGAAGTAAGGAATCGTCAGTAGAGCATCGAATGAGGCACTGCAGACAATTCCACAACATGTCGATGGGCGGTGGATGATCTCATCGACTCTCTGTGGGGCACGAGTACCTGGGTACTACGTGCCCGGCCAGGAGTCGGACTGTGACCCTACTAGTGGAGTCATGTTTGTGGTGGGCTAATCAACATAACTGACATAACAAGCAATACGAGCCTTGTTAGTGCTCGCTCCAAACATTATGAATTGCAAAGCAACTGTCCAAACTTGATGTCATTCAGTAAATAACAGAGTGCCAATAAAAAAGTAAGTACACGCACAACATTTCAATTTGAGGTCTTTGTTTTCTTATGTTGGTGATATAAGGGCGTTAAACTTGTTAACAAGTCTTTATTCAGTTGTTACTTTTGGTAGAACTGTGCATAATTTCATCAAGTATGGAAGTTGTATGTTCATTATTGAAAGTGTGTGTGTGAGGGCGTGGCAGTCGCAGCGCCCAGTCAAGTAGTAGACAGACGGACGGACAGACAGACACGATGCAGGTATCATTGTGCCGGTGTACATAATAATAGTTTGTGGTAGCATTTTGAGAGTATAAGTTATTTGTGCAGTTTTATCAAATGTGTGTACGTGTGGCGCAGTATTTTTGATTGGATCAAACGATCAGCGGTAGTTATAAAATTAATTTGTTGAATAGTTATTGTTTGTGTTTGTATAGGTGGGTAATTGTGTAGGAGTTGCGACCGAATTGGTGAAAAAAATGTTCTAGTGGTCGCGTAATTCATGGCACGGTGTAAGAAGGGTGGTAATTTTTTATCGAGCAGAGTATTTTTTGGTTTCGTAATATTTGAAATAGATCTGTGAATAAAATATGCATGAAAGATAAAGTATGTGTGTTTATGTATGTTTAGTATATGCGTTCCAAGACAAAGCGCGCGGTACCCGATAATGTCTGTCGCGCGCGTCGCGGTCGATACTCACGCCTCGACGAGCGGGCCGGGGTAGGCGTCCACGTGCAGGTACAGGCGCGCCAGGCGCGCGCTGGCCGCCAGCAGCGGCGCGAACAGCAGCACGCACCAGGCCAGCGCCAGCCAGTAGCCCTGCGCCGGCTGCAGCGCCGCGCGGCACGCCGCGTCGCGCGACGCGTTGAAGGCGCGCGACAGCGGCCCGCAGCGGCCCACGTCCAGGCGCGCGCCGCGCTCCAGCCGCGCCATGTACTGCTCCAGCTTGCGCGCCACCGCCTCGCCCAGCTCCGCCGTCATCTGCGCACGCAGCCACTCAAACACGGCCCGCCCGGCCCGCCCGGCCCGCCCCCCCCGGCCCCGCCCGGCCCCGCCACACTTACGTTCTCTAGTC